TTTGGCATAGAATCTTGGTCCATCCCTACTCTAAAATCTCTATAGAATTTTCAAACTGCCCATGTTAAAAAAGAGGGGTCCCAAATTTTCTTTTCTCTGTTGGTTTATGCTACTGTAGTGTATTAAGTGAATGACTACATTTTTTAAGAAATATTGTTTAATTTACTTATGCCTAGTTCAGACTGCGTGATTTTAGCCCCGATTTTGACTCGCCGACAGGTTTTGAGAATTCGCCAACAAATGTCTGAAATCACAGGCAAATCGGTGCTCGTGCACGTGAGTGACAATCACACAGTGTGAACTATCAAAGATGCGATCTGAGAGAATCGTCGATGAGTCGCCGATGCCTGTGAGATATTTGGCATGCTAAATATCTGGAGCTGTCGGTGATTCAAATCATGCCGTGTGCAATGAGTTTTGACTGAAAATAACATCGACCATGTGCCTACAGCCAATGAGAGAGCAGCATTCACTAGACTAGTGTGTGTGTGTACCTGCAGGCCAGCGGGAGGTTAGGGGAGAAGTTAAAAGCGCTCATTTTCGGTTTATTTAGACCCAAGAAATGGAGGAAAAACTAGTGTAAATTTGGCAGGAGCACTCATATTTGTTTGACGTGTCATGTGAGCAATACCACGACCACGTCCATAAAGAAAGTTGAGGAGAGATTGCTAATTCCTTTCAAACCCAGGTGAGCAAAGATGTACATTTTCTACCCCATTAAAGGCTTCTTTCTCGTTGTGAAGTTTATTTATAAACAAATTTCGAGAGGATCACATACTTATGATTGTTCACAGCTATTCCGACTTTAGCTAATAACTGATTATCCTATCAGACGATCCTTAACTCACTATAAATAACCAGACTTTTTCTGAGCCCAACCCTACTTTCCCTCCTTTTAAACGGGCGTCATGGTGGCCAGCGATTAGCGCTGTTGCCTCACAGCAAGAATGCCCCTGGTTTATTTCCTTTCCAAACCAGACGGCGTTTCTGTGCGGAGTTTGCTCGTTCTCCCAGTGGTCGCGTGGGATTTCCCCGGGTCCTCCGGTTTCCTCCCACAGTTCAAAAACAAGCACTCTAAACAATCAATCCAAAACATTTTAGCTAAACTCTGAGTACACCTTCATCATCCATATCTGACACTTAGCTACAATAAGCAAGAGGGGGAGTCATCGAGATCTACCTGAGCTCACACTCCCCTCTCGCCTTGCAACGGGAGGGAGCCCAGGGCTCAAGGATCTTATAAGCTCAGGGCTCTCTCCCGGGATAGCACGCCAAACTAGCCTTATTATCAATCATCAGCTAAGTTTGAACTCTTGAAATGTAGTTAATAACAAAAGATATACTACAAGTTTTTGGCTGTGACACGTAGTTTTTACGAAGTCAATTCTTCCTATTGTAAAGTCATGCAATGTGAAAGCCCCTGTCGCTGATCCATCTTGCAGTGTAAACAAGCAGTGACAAAACGCTAGCCCAGATAGTCATGCAGTGGGAAAACATCTGTGACACGACTATTTTAAAAATCCTGCAGTCTGAACTCGGCATAAGTTATAACAGTTGTGGGGTGACATGGTGGCTCAGTGGTTAGTTCAATGATCATCTTACAGAAAGAAGACTGCTGGTTCAAGTCCCGACTGGGTCAGTTGGCATTTCTGTGTGGAGTTTGCATGTTCTCTCAATGTTGGTCTGGGTTTCCTTTGGGTGCTCCGGTTTCCCCCACAGTCCAAGCACATGCGGTATAGGTGAATTGAATAAATTATATTGGCCTTATTGTATGTGTGTGTATGAATGTTTCCTAGTACTGGGTTGCCGCTGCTTTAAACAAACAGTATGCTGGATAAGTTGGAGGTTCATTCTGCTGTGGCAATCACTGATGAATAAAGGAACTAAGCTGAAGGAAAATTAATGAACTGAAGTTGCAAACTATTGAATTTGGAAAAAAAACAATCAGCCTAATGTCAGTTTTTATTTGATTATATCTATTTTTCTCATCTGCTTGTTATATATGTTTATTGTTGGTTGCTGAAAGCATCATTATGTGTGAAAGTATTACAAGCAGCATTTTAGAATTTAGACTTTTTCATCAATTTAAGAGTTTTTGCCTTGATTGGGCCTTTTTTTTTCCTGATGTGCCCTATAAAAGAGTTTAAACTAGCCTTCTGCTCATGTGGACATCTGAAAGCGGTGAGCTACTGTTACATATGGCACATTATCATACGGAGCTTCTATATGGCTTTTATTCTTTAGCAAGTGGGGGCGTTTATTTTGCACGTACGTGAGGATATTGTTGAATTTCAGCACACTCAGAGGCCACTTTATACCGAAAACTGGATATTCGCCAGTGTGAGCCTACTTAAAATTCATTGTGTGGTTTTTAGGTATATTATCTGCATGTTTATTACCGCTCAGACAAACCTCCAGAGAAAATTATGATGATTGATGACAGAATACAATGCTAATCATTGTCAAGAGAGCAGCTGAAAAATTTTCATGATTTTGAGGTGCCATCGGAGCTTTAGGTAGTTTAAATATTAAAAAGACAGGATTCAATGGACACATTTGTGAGGGTGTTCAATTAAAAAAAAATAATAAAAACTTATTTCACACAAACTCCATTGTTTTCTAAATTTCACAGTTTGGAAACATGTAATGTGATGTGTATTTATATAGGTCATTAATTGTGTATATGGCCATACACCCAAAGTGCTTCACAATCATGAGGATGCCACCACAAGTTTGCAGCATCTACGGATGGTGCGATGGCATCTAGAGGACAACAGTACCAGTGCGCTCACCACACACTAGCTATTGGTGGAGTGGAGAGACAGTGATAGAGCCAATTCAGTGGATTGGGATGATTGGGAGGTCGATATTTGGCCAGAACACCGGGGTTACACCCCTACTCTTTATGAGAAGTGCCAAGGGATTTTTAATGACCACATTGATGATCTTGGTTTAATGTCTCATCCGAAAGATGGACAACATGACCACAATTGAGATTTAGGGGCACAGAAACATTATTAACTGATAAATATTAACCAAAAGGTCATGTTTATGAGCCTTATTAAAAAAAAATTACAAATATTACCTAAGGGTAATATTTCTTTTTTACTAAGATACTATTCTTATCTTATTTTTTTTACGACATTATTTTTTACAAATACAAGTGTTCATTTTTAGTTACCCACACAGTTCAAACACGTGCACTATAGGTGAATTGAATAAACTTAATTAGCCATGGTGTATGTGTGTAAATGAAAATGTTTGGGTGTTTCCCAGTAGTTGGTTGCAGCTGGAAGAGCATCCTAAAACATGTGCTGGATAAGTTGGTGGTTCATTTCGCTGCGGCGACCTCTGATGTATAAAGGGACTAAGCTAAAGAAAAATAAATGAATACATTTTTTGGTAATGTTAGCTGAGGTCCAATAAATAATAGTAACAGGTAAAACAGATGTTTTCTATATCAACTTACTATTTCAGTTAGTTTTGTTGGTTTAACCAAAATAACTAATTAACTAAAATAAACAAATAATTAAAATGATATAGAACTGCATGAAACAATATTAAAGTTAAATAAAACTGTAAAAAATGAACAAAAAATGTATTATTTAAATATTAATGTAACATTTGTCTTTAAATCTATTTATAATTAAACATTTATATAGACCATTTTGAGGAATGTAAACAACAATGGTCCCAACGTATTTACTGTTTTACATTTTTAATTTTTTAAAGCTTTTAAAAATCCAAAAAGAGCCACATATTGATAAATTATGTTATGATAGCTGTTTTAACATTAAATTATGGTTAAATCAATTCTTGTTACAGTGATGAAATAGTTTGATAACAAGCTGGAAATATTCATGGGACAATGACATGACCACATTGAAATAGTTTAAAAATAGAAAATAATTGCATATATTAGATATAAAAGTTTGCAATGAAAAAATATATATTTTTAAAAACAATAACAATAATAACATATATAATAATACAATGAAAAAGCTAACATTAAAACAAATCTATGAGGGAAAATCCAAACAATAAAAAAAACCGAAGAAAATCACTCATTTGATACTAAAACAACTTTTTTTCATAAACTGTTTTCAAAATATCAACATTTTTTAAATAATAGCAAACTGCTTTAGAATATCATAAACAAGTTGTACAGTATGAGCTACTGTAATGTTATTTTTTTATACGGCTTGTTTTAATTTGGTTTGGAACATACTGTACCTTTTATAAATCACTCTTCACCTTCATTATATGACATACAGAAGCTCAGCCATTTGACTTTTGGGTTTCACACAAGAAATCACATCATGTGGGGAATAAATGAGGACAAATCAATGCAATACTTATATGTTAAATATATACAGTTGAAGTCAGAATTATTAGCCCCCCTGTATATTTTATTCCCGGATTTTTGTTTAAAGTAAATAAGATTTTTTTTCAACACATTTCAAAACATAACAGTTTTAATAACTCATTTCTAATAACTGATTTCTTTAATTTTTATCATGATTACAGTAAATAATATTTTATTAGATATTTTTAAGATACTAGTATTCAGCTTAAAGTGACATTTAAAAACAATCAAAACAAAATATTGCTAATAATATTGACCTTAATTTTTATATATATATATATATATATAAATTAAAAACTGCTTTTATTCTAGCCGAAATAAAACAAATAGGACTTTCTCCAGAAGAAATAATATTTTGGGAATTACTGTGAAAAATTCCTTGCTCTGTTAAACATCATTTGGGAAATATAAAAAGATAACAAACCTAAAAGGAGGGCTAATAATTTTGGGCATTCAACTGTATACGTTTAATATTGTGTAATATTTCCTCTCTCATCAGAATCACTTGAGTATATGCATTTATCAGCAGGTTGCAGTGGTGGCTGTCTCTTTAAGAAGCCCGTCCAGCTGTCATTGGAGTGATCGTGAGCTTGAACTCCTCTGGTGGAGGGGCTTCTGCAGCGTTTCAGAGGGATCCAATCAGGCAGGTCGAGCTCCTCATTTCTGCTCTGAAACTCCTACAGATGGGACACACGCTGTCTGAACACTGCAGAAAGTTTTAACACTGGGAAATGGCTGAACCAGCTACTATAACCAGACCACTCATATCCTCCAAGAGGCACAAGAGCATCCGAAAGAATTCCAGGAGGATTTATTCCCCATATCATGATAATAATGGGTAAGTTTGACCAAATCTTTTAAATTATTTTCATTGTTATTTTTATTATTATTAAATGACATTGTCAAATTTTACACCTGACACTTGTAGAGTATTGCATTATCTGTCTTATTTGTATATACAGTTGAAGTCAGAATTATTAGCCCCCCCTTTGAATGTTTTTCTTTTTAAAATATTTCTCAAATAATGTTTAACAGAGCAAGGAAATTTTCACAGTATGTCTGATAAAATTTTTTCTTCTGGAGAAAGTCTTATTTGTTTTATTTCGGCTAGAATAAAAGCAGTTTTTAATTTTTTTAAAGAACATTTTAAGGTCAATATTATAAGCCCCTTTAAGCATTTTTTTCAATTGTCTGCAGATCAAACCATCGATATATAATGATTTGCCTAATTACCCTAACTTGCCTAGTTAACCTAATTAACCTAGTTCAGCCTTTAAATGTCACTCTAAGCTGTATTAAAGTGTCTTGAAAATATCTAGTCAAATATTATCTACTCTCATCATGTCAAAGATAAAATAAATCAATAAATAAAACAAATTAGTTATTAGAGATGAGTTATTAAAACTATTATGATTTGAAATGTGTTGAAAAAAAATCTTCTCTGAAATTGGGGAACAAAATAAACGGGGGGCTAATAATTCTGACTTCAACTGTATATTTGTGGTTGTGGTTGTTATTAGTTAAAGTATGTGTGCTTTTGCTTCGTAGTTGAACATTTACACCTGAAGCTTCTAAATGTGTAGATTACAAATAAACTATTAATTTATGCAATATGTTTTATTGTTATGTTTTGGAACGTACTGGATTATTTAGGTTTGTGTATTTGCAGTGTGATTAAAAATTTTAAATCTGAAGCTTCTAAATGTGAGGATCACAAATAAACTAGATGAATATATCCAATGTAATTTTTTTTGTTTGTTTGCATTTTATGTTCGGGATTGTGCTGGATTATTTAGGTATGTGCATTTGAGTAAAATTGGTTTTATTTATATTAAAAAGGTCTTATAATATTACAAGGATTTATTTTTAATATTACATTTATTTATTTATTTATTTATTTCAGAAAATTGCAGTTGGTCTTAATAACAAATGTTTTTATTTGTAGGTTGAAATCAATTTTATTCCACCCAATATATATATTTTTATTACACAAGTTAAAACTAGAGCTGCACGATATTGATAAAAACTGACATTGCAATATTTTATTTGTGGAGCTGCCCATCAATAGATTTGCTCTTCAGTGTTTGGACTTTTAGCAGTGAAAATGAACCCACACTAAATTGAACTGAACTGAACTCTGAAAACTGGACTGACGCTGTTTCAATTCACTAGAACTTCTATGTTAAGCTGCTTTGACACAATCTACTTTATAAAAACACAAGGGAAATAAACTTGAATTGAATTGAACTTATTTTTGTGCAATACATATCGCCACCTTGGAATTATAAGGTTCTATCTGCTTTCTCAATGATTTAGAGATATTGAACTTTAAAGTTTTTTGCATTCAATATAGCAAACAGTATATGTGTAACATTTATTTTTAAATAAAAGTCTTAAAATGTAAACAACTTATAAAAAACATACCATAATGTAAATAAATTGTCAATTAATAAGTATATGTCAATAACTCAATTTTGACAAAAATGTCAGATATAACCTTATAACTCTAAGGTGACGATATTGCAATATTGTGAATAATTTCACCAGATGAAATTATTAGCTCTATTTGGAAAGAATTTGCATAATTTTATGCTGATTATGATTATTTTGTAGAGTGCACCTGCTTTAAATATAGACCTTTTTTTTGTTGCTGCATGGAGGGTGCCATAATGGCCAGCTCCTTCTGGTAGGATGCTTAGAACTTCCGTTCTCTGCTGGGTGTCAATACTGTTTACAGTGGCATACTGAGTGTTCAAGGTATACCGTGGTTTGGAAAAGTTAAGGTTTTAAAACCGCCAACATTTCCTGTTATACCGTTCCTAAGGTATGTGTACGATTTTTTTTTTTATTTATGTTTTTTTTTAGTTATTTAGGACAACAGTATCTCCAGCAGAAAAGATATCTAAAGATGCCGCTTTAAATTGTAAATTAATCAGTGCTTTTGAAACTGATAAAGACAGCAGAAGTCAATGATTCGTTTGAGTTATTTAGTCTGACATGTTTACGGCTTCAAAATATTATAAGGCTGCGTCCGAAACCGCATACTTCCATACTATATAGTACACCAAAATCAGTATGCGAGCCGAGTAGTATGTCCGAATTCATAGAATTCGAAAATCAGTATGCGAGAAGTACCCGGATGACTTACTACTTCTGGCGTGATTCCGGAGTGCGCATCCCATGCATGCTGCGCTATCCCATAATGCCCCGCGAGCGAATTCATGAATGGAAGGAAAGCGACGCAACTGACGCAGGTAGGTCATGTGACCATGACAAAATGGCGGATGTAGTACGTCCGAATTCCATTCATACTTTTCACATTCATACTGTATAGAACGTACTTTTCTAACGGCCGAGTAGTACGTTTAAATTCAAATGCAGTACCTACTGAGTAGTAGGCAGTTTCGGACGCAGCCTAAATGTTTCTCAGAATAAAATATATTGTGTTCAAAGAGGAAAACGTTTTTGTTTTTTAACCCAGACATTTAACATAAACATATTTTAGAAAGAAATCACAATATTGTGAAACCGTGATATTTTTATCCAAGGTTATCATACCGTCAGAATCTTATACCGACCCATGCCTAGATGCAAAACTTTAATTTTGAAAGAAAGACGTGTGTTAAAGCTGTTATGCTTCTGTCAGATGCGGTTCAAGAGTACACGTAGTTTCAGGTGCTGCACATCTTGGATCTTCACACCATAGACAACAAAGATAGTGGGGCCATTCTTCATCAGTGGAAACCTCAAGGCCACTGGATATTTGAAATTGCTACATGATGATGTGTTTCCCTCTTTATGCTCTGAAGCTGGCACGTTCCCTGAGTTGTATCAGCAAGATGTTGCACCACCACATTGTGGTTGTCAGGTCCGAGCATTCATAGATGAACAGTTTCCTGAAAAGTGAATTGGTCATTAAATGGCCCCCAATGTCTCCCGATTTGACCCCCTTAGACTTTTATCTTCAGGGTCATCTGAAGGCAATTGTCTATGGTGTGAAGATCCAAGATGTGCAGCACCTGAAACTACTGATATTGGAAGCCTGTGCTGGCATTTCTCTTGTGGTGTTGCTATCAGTGTGTGAAGAGTGGGAGAAGAGGGTTGCATTAACAATCCAACACAATGGGCAGCACATTGAGCACATTTTATAAGTGGTCAGAAACTTGTAAATAACTCATGAAATAATAAAGTTACGTTACAACCAAGCACACCATTGCTTATCTTGTGAAATTCCCAATAAGTTTGATGTGTCAAATGACCCTCTTCTTATTGAGAAAACAAAAGTTGGATCCAAGATGGCCGACTTCAAAATGGCCATTTTGGTCACCAACCATCTTGAAAAGTTTGCCCCCTCACATATACTAATGTGCCACAAGCAGGATGTCATTATCACCAACTATTTCCATTTTATTAAAGTGTATCCATATAAATGGCCCACCCTGTATTTTTTGTGTTGTTTTTACAAATTTAAGTGGATTAAACATGAAATAATTAATTAAAAAAATAAAAATAAAAAAACACAAGACGATTGTTATTTTGCTTATTTTAAGTAAGAAGTTTGAACAAATGGCAAAAATATATATTTTTATTATTATTTTTAGTGTTGTTTTTTTACAAATTTAAGTGGATTAAACATAACACAATCAAGTCCCCACCCCCCAAAAAAACATTAGACGAGTGTTATTTTGCTTATTTTAAGTAGTTTGAACAAGCAGCAAAAATATATATTTTTATTATTATTTTTTACTGTTGTTTTTACAAATTTAAGTGGATTGAACATAAAATAATTAAGTTGTCCCAAAAAAAAAACCCACAAGAATGGCATGATGTTGCCATGTTACTAATTAAAGTGATTACATTGATCTTTCAATTGTGTTTCAGGCCGTCTGATGACGAAGATAAAGACGGAGAGCGAGTGGACAGTAATGATCCCGAGGAGATGTTCCAGAACATTCAGTTTCAGAAAGAAATCATCGCCAACATCCGGATCAAACCCTGGCCAATAAGACGCAAGCTAAAAGTGCTCAAGTAAGATGTATATGTAAAGAAAATGCCATCAGAACCTCCGCACACCCTGTTCTGGAATTATTACCGAACATAAAGCTGAATTGTTCTCTAGTGGATCAGTTTAAACAGCAGATAAAACGCATAAAGCATTTATAAGGCCAATCTGAGGGGTGTAGAATGTTCCATTTCTTGCTATATAATGTGTGCTGTAAAGGTATTTTGTGTTTGTACAGGAGCTAGAACATCCACAGGACAGATTATAATGCTAAATCCATTGAATAAATAAGCATAATGAAACTATTTAAGCATTATTTCTCGCTAAAACGATGATATGACTCCATTACGGCCATTAGACTACTTAGAAACGGCATTTGAAAATGTTTAAAACTAATGTTAATGGCCTAGGAAAAGCATCGCTGCATTAAACCCCTAAGGTAAATAACAATTAAGTTTCAGTGCTTGCCATATTTACAACATGATGCCTGGAGAACGAGCTAAATTGGCTGAGTAATTGTTTCATTAGCCTGGCCATGCAGTTTCTCATTTTACGGGGGAACCGAATGCTGCGGGTTCTTTGGGCTAAGGGTCAGGGAGGTACAAATGTTAGTACATTGTGCTGCTTTCTGATAAAGCCAACATTGTGGATTTATGCGGCTCCTGGTAGCACTGCCAAAATGCTAGAAATGCTATGCTGCTACTTTGAATATACTGCAACCGACTAGAATATTAATGTTTACCTTGTTGATTCATACTTAAAATGCGGATCACAGTGAGAAGTTAATTCATGTGCATGTAGCTGTTTTTCCACTCCTTTTTTATATCCATATGCTTTATCATTCATTCATTCATTCATTCATTCATTTTCTTGTTGGTTTAGTCCCTTTATTAATCTGGGGTTGCCACAGCGGAATGAACCGCCAACTTATCATTTGGCAAATTGATAAATAAATGAGCAATATCAAACTCTTATCAGTGCGTTGTGGCTGTATATCTCACTGGTGGGAGGCATGCGTGACTCGAGGCCACAGGCTAACGCCCTATTCACACGGTGCTTCAGCGTCAACGCTTGACAGAGGGCGTGTCTGAAGTTGGAGCTGAAACGATCGTCATAGAAGCGTCAGCCAATGAAATTCAGTCAGCAATAGGCCACTGTCTGAGCTGGTGTATTTGCATACAGCGATCTGATTGGCTGACGCTTCCGTCGCCGCTTGAAAAGTTGAGCTGGTCCCAACTTCTGCAGCGAGGAACGCTTCTGAAGCAGCGCCGACGGATCCACAATGCAGTTCGGCAACGCCTGTTGTCACCCATTCAAAGTGAATGGGAAGCGTTGACGCTGACGCCCCGTGTGAATAGGGCGTAAGTGCCTTAAGCCTGATTTATAATTCTGCGTCAAGTGACCGGCGTAACCCACTGCGCATGCAACGCGCGTAGCTGTGCATTTATACTTCTGTGCGCTGTCTCTGTTGGTCTGCATTAACACTTCCGAAACTCTAGTTGACAGTGAGGTGTTAATGTTTCTCTGTGTCGAGTTTCTTCTCTGCTTTTTTGCTTTTCCTGAACACTTCCGAGATGTTCAAGTGGCTCAAACTCGGTCATTTCGAGGCAGGAACCGTCGGACGTGCAACAACTTTTACTATGAGTTAAACACAAAACAAAACTTTCCATCCGGAGCTCCTTCACAGGACTCCACACTTGTAAACAATCGCTCCATCAGGCTCGCACCATTCGCGATGCTCTCGGTCCCGCCCAGACTCGTCAACGCTACCAATCACAGAGAGGATATTTCAGCGACGCCGATGGCCACGGCGAAGGGCTATGCGTCAGCGCCGTAGCATACGCCGCCGTTTGATGCAGAAGTATAAATCAGCCTTTAGTGTCCCACCAGTGCCGATATACAGCCATATCACACTGCTCTTCAGGTGATATTGCTTTTATACAACAGTTTGACGGCACAATCGTGTGTATAAAAAAATCAAACACGGACAGTCTAAAAACCCTTTTGTATGAGGAACTATTTTCTTCTGCCATTCCTTCACATCTGCAGCTGACCTCAGAACAGCAGAAACCTGTTCACAAACTTCATTTTAGAACTAGTGTTTGAATGATTCTGTAGCGTAATGTCTACAGTGAAGACAAAACAGGTGATTTTGCTCACATTTTATGATTATAAGGCTGAACAGCATGAAATGATTTCCCAGTATTTCTCTGTTGCAATCGGGAGATCACAAAAATTAACCCTGAAAAGTTCAAAGCAGCACAAACACTACCAGAAACACTACCAGATTACTATGGTATAAATACACTACAACATAAAAAAAAAGAGATCGACTTAGTAAGTCACTAACCTGTTTTATAATGATATTGTCAGCTGTAGTTTGAAATTTACTGAGTTTTTCTCCTCTATTATCATGGCTTATTATGTGGTCTCTGTCGCCATCTTGTGGTGGAACATCAACCGTGTTTGCTCTGTTCAGTATGACAGGCTGATGGATACTGACGCGCTGTATCTCTGAAATTATAAACCTTTAAAATAGACACTATCCTTATAAATAAAATGCGTAATTGCAATCTAAACAACTACATTATCGCCTAAATTAAGCCTCAAAAGTACATTATGTTGTCCATTAGCTGTAATATTTGTCAAACTGTAGTGAGTTTATTGATTTACTGTCACTCTATGTGGGCAGAGTAATGCACAAAGCTATTCGAGTGCTGATATTGCAGAATATCGCACGGCTATCAGCCAATCAGATTCAGGAACTAGACAGACTTGTTGTGTATCATACCTTTTTAAAAAATGTCCAAATGATTAGCCCTCCTATGCAATATCTATATTTTAAAACATTTCTTAACTGATATTTAACAGATTAAGGACATTTTTATAGTATTTAATAAGTATTTTATTTTTCTTTTAAAGAAAGTCTTATTTGTTTTATTTCGGCTAGAGGAAAGACGGTTTTTAATAATAAAAAAAATAATTTTAACGTCAATATTATTAGCCCCCTAACGCAATTTTTTTTTTTTTCCATTGGCTACAGAAAAAAACATTACAATGATTGGCTAAATATCCTAAATAGTCTTGTAATCTAATGTCACTTTAAGCTGAATACTAGTTTCTTGAAAAATATCTAGTAAAATATTGTGTACTGTCATCATTGCAAAGACAAAAGAAATCAGTTATTAGAACTATTATGTTTTGATATTAAGTAATTTTACATAAAGAGGCAACATTTTAGATGTAGGTAAAGCATTTACTCTCATATTTCAAAATAACTCTTTTAAAAATAAAAAGTTGTCAAAATACGGGAGAAATGCTATTATATTAAACATTAAACAATATACTTCTTCTGATATATATTTGTTAAAATATCTAAGTTGACTAATTGTAGTAATTGTAGGTGGCTCAGTGGTTAGCAGTGTCGCCTCACAGCAAGAATATCGCTGGTTTGAGTCCTGGCTGGGCCAGTTAGCATTTCTGTGTGGAGTTTGGATGTTCTCCCCGAGCTGGCTTGGGTTTCCTCTGGGTGATCTGGTTTCCCCTACAGTCCAAAGACATGCACCATAGGTGAATTGGATAAACTAAATTGGTCTTAGTGTATGAGTGTGTGTGAATGAGTGTGTATGGGTGTTTCTCAGTACTGGGTTGCGGCTGGAACGGCATCCCCTGCGTAAAACACATGCCGGAATAGTTAGTCGTTCATTCCGCTGTAGTGATCCCTGATGAATAAGGAACTAAGCTGAAGGAAAATGAATGAATGAAAGTACAATGATCATATTACTGACAAGAACAGTGGCAAAGTATGGAATTGAGTATTCTGTGATCCTTTTATTATCAAAATATTCTTGTTTCACACGTGTTTTATCATTACTATTATTGGGATTATTATTCATATTTTTATTTGTAGATAAACTATTTCTCACGATTGTAGGTATGTGCACACTTCTGGTATTGTCTGTGTTGTGGTCACGTGGTTTATTGCTACAACGATCAGCTGTTCTGATCAGCCGCCCAGATTTGGCTAATTACCACGGCTATATCTAAGAGGCAGTTCTTTGCTAAATTGTCAGTTCTTTATTGTTGTTCATATTACTCTGTTTTGTCAGGAATCTCGGTAAACCTTCTCAAGATTTCTGGGCTGTTTGCCTAGTTATCGGCTGACCCAAGGGCATTGCTTGGGTCGAAACGGATAAGGGGCTTAGCACCAAAGATGTCAAGTGAAGTCAAGTCAGAATGATTAACTGAGGTGTAATGTTGTCAAGAAACTGGAATTTCCAAATTGATTAATTGATCAGCCCATGATTCAGGAAACATCTGAAAAACAAACTGCTCATGCACCAACATCAGTATGCTTATATAGGCCTGAACAGTGCAGTGGCTTACTTTATATGCAAAAAAAGAAAGATATCCAAAGATGCCTTTTCAAGTTGTAAAGAAATCTGTGTTTTTAAAACTAATTAAGACAGCAGAAGTCAAATAAAATATATTATCTTCAATGGAGGAAAAAAGTTGTTGTTTTTAGCCAGACTTTTAAAAAGAACATGTTTTAGAGCAGTAATCACAAAATCGTCATACCGTGAAACCGTGATATTTTTATCCAAGGTTTTCATACCGTCAGCAGTGTTTCCTCTAGGATTTTTTCCAGCTTTGGCGGCAGGCCTTTTTTACAAAGATCTACCAACTAACTGTGGTGTTATTTCAAAGACAAATGTCGTGAACGCAATAAAG